ATCATATTTAAGCTATGATGCACCGACAATCCGCTTAAAGAGGGTATGCAGTGTCGGACACAGACACGCGTCCGACACGGCATTGGAGTGCAGTAATTAAGAAAATTAAAATTAAAACCGGACACGCGTGTCCGGTTATTAAATAATAAAATCGTCTGATTCGTTCTATTTAGCCTTTGACACGAACGAGAAGCCCTAATTTTCCGATCCATGAAAGAAATCATCTAGGGAGGACCGGGCGAGCTCGCAGCCGACGCCAAACGGAGCTCGCTGCCTTCGCCTCCCATTCCTTCGTCATTTCTGCTCAAGCCGAGGCCAAGCCGAGCTCGTCTTTCCCATTCCTTCGTTCCTGCGTGATTTCTACGGTCAGCTGAGGCAAAGTTCGCAATCGATGCCAAACAGAGCACCTTCTGCGCGCAAGAGAGCCAAGACTTATAAGTGGATTTTGCCATTTCTTCTCTTTATTGTTGAAAATGTCTAGATTAATTGAAATATTAATTGTTTTTATTTTATTATTATTATTATTATTTTTAAACTTACTATTGTGACATCTATTGGATGAGATCCATGTCGATCTGTTGCTTGAGTTATACCAGTTAGCTATAAGATTTCCTAAAATGACTGTAGAACACTGCATGTATTTAGTTCCTTTAACGATGCATGTTATTCTGAGTTCCATTCATCTTATATTCCCTGTCCTTGGCATAATTTTTTTATTAGTTCATTATTTTTTTATTTTTTGTTTGATTTATTTTGATACATGATTACCAAATATGTTTTGTTTGCTTTTGATGTATTCCTATGTATGATTGGTTTGTTACAATCTTATCTAGATAAAAACTACTAATAATCAATGTATGTTTTGTTTGCTTTTGATGTATTCCTATGTATGATTGGTTTGTTATAATCTTATCTAGATAAAAACAATGAATAATCAAGATATAAATAAAATTATAATTTCTATGTTGAAGGATAGTAGTTCAAATAGAGAATATCTATTATGATTTAGGAGGAATATAGGTCAAGCTCTAATTTGTTAGTGTCATATAATATATTTCACCAGTGAGTTAGTGTCATTTAATCTACGACATAATATTTTAAATACACATATCTGCTTTGTCATACCTGTCATATAATCTATGACATAATGTTTTAAAATATGTCAACTAATTTGTTAAGACTTTTTTCTTCCATTACAGTAGTGTATTTTAAAGCAAAATGAGCTCTGCTGCTAGCAGGAGTCGATGGTAAAGGTTCAAAAGAGTCGTCTGTAGAAACTGATAAGTCATTATGGATTCATGTCATAAAGTTAGGAAAAAATTTTGGAGGGAATGTGTCATTCAAATGCAATTATTGTGGTGGCGCCTACAAAGGATTTTATTCTAAGGTGAAAGCACATCTACTTAAGATTTCGGGCCATGAAATTAAAATGTATCCTAAGATTACTACGTTGCAGTTGATTGAATAGAACAGACAAGTTAATGAAGCTGAATCTAGGATAAAAAAGACACTCCCTAAAGAGATACATTTGTCATCTACTCATGGCTCATCCCACACTTCTTCCTCATCTGTGAGAGTTGATCATTCTTTATCATTTAGAAGTGAAGGATATGAAATAAGGAAAAGAAAAGGAGTTTTCAGTAGTCCTCTAGAGAATGATTTTAACTTGCAGCAGTGAGAGGAATTGGATGGTGAAATAGCAAGGATGTTTTTTTCAGCGGGACTTCCTTTCAACCTTCTAAGAAATTCTTATTATAAAAATGCATTTATTTTTGCATGTAACAACAACCTTGCAGGAAAGTCACATTTAAATTTCTTGATAAATGAACATATAATTTATATGTTTTGTATTATTTGAAGGCATTCAAATAAAGAATAGCTTCAAGAAGACCCTCAGCGTGTCTCACCATAAAAAGATTTAGAAGTTTTAAATATGAGAAAGATATGCTTGAAAAGATATTTCCTAAATGAGGTGAGAAGAAAAATTAAAAATTAATATATAACTTGCAAAGTTCTTTGGTTATTTAGAGAATTTTGGTGATCAAGAATCTTTGGTTGATAGATGGAGGATGGATCCAAAAATGTGGTGGTTGATTCATGGAGCTTCAGCACCGCTTCTTCAGACAATAACAATAAAACTTTTTGGTTAAGTATCATCCTCTTCCTTTTCTGTGAGAAATTGGAGCACATATTCATTTATTCAATCAATGAAGATGAATAAAATAACTCCACAACGAGCTGAAGATTTAGTTTATGTGCATACAAATTTTTGTCTTATATCAAGAAAAATCTCACTTTATATGACAGGTGATAACAAGATGTGGGATGTTGCTGGAAATGGGTTCGAGTGCTTTGATGATATGGGATTATTAGAAGTTGTAAATCTTTTTCTAGATGAACTAGAGTTTGAAACAATGATATTCAATGATGATGATATTGAAGGCCAAAGACCAACCTCTTAATCTAATTCTATCATTCCCCTCTATTGAGTAGTTAGACCTTCATGTTCTACTAAATGAATTTTTGCTTATATTTTTGTGGTTGTACTAGACATTTTGTACTAAATATTTTTATGCTATAAGCTAAACAAGTTATCATGAAATTGATTTATTATTACTTGTCATTTTTAATATAATGTCACCTTAATTTCTATATATTATATTAAAAATTATTATGTCGTGTCCACGCCCCACCCGTGTCCTATATTTTTAAATAATGTCGTATCCCGTGTCCGTGTCGTGTCGTGTCCATGTTGGTGCATCATAGTATTTAAGGTATTATAGAAGTTTTTTTTTTTTTTTTTTTTTTTTTTTTTTTTTTGAATTTTTTGCACTTATTTGAAATTTGTTATGATATAATTTAAGAAAAATGCTAAGTTACATGCAAGTTGGTACTTGAAGTCAATTATGCCATGTCACCTCGTCATTTCATCAAATGTCAACCTTATATTCAATGTGATATTCTACATACAAAGAACAGCAATCAATTGATCAAACAGCCCTTGAGTTTTCAAGCGAAGTAATGAAGCCTTAACCAAGTTCCAAGGAGTATTAGTGAAGTGTTTGACCATCCCTTGAAATTCATGTATTATTGTATCTTCACCTCTTTTATAAGGCTTTTAATTATGAAGAATGTTGTATCGTAAGAATGCTTTTGAAAAATTAAAATCAAACTTTGAGAAGTCATTCTTTTCTTTGGGAGAAATTTGATGGCTTGATTAGTTTGGTGACTTGGAACCACCCTCTCTGGAGAGAGGTTTTTTCTTTATTATTATACTTTTAATTCGTGTGTTTTATTACTTTCATGTGCATTCTATTATCTTCATCAAGTGTTCTAGAGCTTCTGTCTAATTTCCTACACTTTCATCTTCTGTTCTTTCCCACTTAAGCAAGTTCTACAAAATCTATCTCCATCAAACCACTCTTCCTTTATTCAACACCAAACACAAAAGTTTCCATACTACAACTTGAAACTACTGACGAACCTTTGTCGTACATCCTAAACTAACCATAGAATACATACACCAATCATATTCCCTACATAAACTCCTCTTAGCATCAATACAAAATCAGCAACTTCAAATCATCAAAAACCCATTCCCCCAAAGAACCTATTGATCACCTTTGGAAAGTAAGCTTCTCAAAGTCCTCCAAGCCCCAAATCACTTCGGTTTGGTTCTCCTCCGTCCCCTTAAGCTAAATAAAATACTCACCTCAACTCTCCACTTCGAAGCCCACCATACTTAATATCAACCTCTCTACCATATTAACTTAATCACAAGAATATATACCAACTCCGTCACCACATGAGATAAAAATCCACTGATAGCTGTTGTTGGAAATATCCTGCTTTCACAAATCATCTAACATCTATTATGGAAAGGTAAAACCATTACAACAAACATAGTGGTGTAAGGGGAGTTATGACAGGTGAGGAAATTTTTTAGCAAAGCGCATCTTTTAAGCTAATAAAACTTGGAATAATCACAAGTGTTGATAGATGTAACATAATTTAAGCCACTCAAACAGGATCTTTTCTCTTGATGCAAAAAAGTGAATAATAAAGCCTTCATATAACTCTTTAGATAATGTATTATACTGTGTAACTTGACACATTAGAAGTTTCATTAGTGATGTTCTCCAAGGGTCAGAAACTAGCACACAAATATGCAACTGGTTGATGTTCAAAATAAACATTAAAAGATTTGGTCAATCAAATAAATATTTATTTTATTAGGCAATTTAAACTCTATTATTGAAATACTATATAATATTCATGCACAATGATGTGGATAAGTTTTCAAAAAATTTAAGGAATTTTTGAAGATTTTGAAACATATATCTAATCCATGTCACTGAAATCATCCTTTTTCCCCCTCGATAGAAAAGTTTCTCGATCAAATTTTCATGGAGGGTGCCTGATGTTGAGAATGGAACAAAAGGACGAAAGATAGTTCACAGGAACATCATAAAGTTACTGAGATTTGTGTGTTTCAAAGAATGGTCATCCAACACCCACAGCCATTCAAATTCCACTATATAATTATAGGGCTATAATTACAAAAATGACACCCTATAAATAGAAGATTAGGGCAGTCCTAAAAATATAATTTTCACTTTTACCCTCAAAATGTTCCATATAATATAACCCTAAAATATTTTTTAGGAATTAGAATACCCCCTAATATTTTTAGGTCACAGGTTCTACTTCCCTATGACTCTCAACAGCTCAATGTGGAGTTGGATCCACAAAAAGTAGGAATTCATCACCAACAAGGACTAACCAAAAGATGAAGTCCAGATTTCAAAAATCTTCTTCAATGAGTGATTCCCAAGAAATAGATCATCAATGGTAATTTAAAAAACTTAAAAAGAACCTTGAGAAAAATACTTGTTATCCCTGATAGAGAGAATTCATAGAGCAATAAGAAAGTAAGAATAGAAAAATACTTAGCATAACAAATTCCTAGAATGTGTAGGATGAGATAAAAGAATCAAAACCTTGAGGTAAGCCAGCAACTGAGTCTTTGTGTATCCCATTCTCACTAGTTCTTCAGTCAGCACGCTGCATTCAAAATTAGGAATAGGAAAAGAAGCTTAGAGCACATTCTTGCATTCATTCTTTCTTCTTTATTCTCTTTTTTTAGTTATTTTATTTTCTTCTCTTTCCTCTTTTTATTTGGGTAGGAGGAGGGGGGAGGGGGGAGGTTTTGGTCCAATTGGTCTGAGATTAATCCAATTGGCCTAGTTCAACATATACAGAAGTAGAGATACCGCCTAACAGAACAAGGAACTACTCAATTTGCAAAATTTGAAAACATTCAACTTCCAATTTATATTCATGCTTTCAACTATGAAGCTGGTTAGTTTCTAAATCATGACCTATACAATTTTCACATTTGGGCATAGATGAGAATTGCAATTTTTCTGACCTTTTAGTGTTTCATGGCATGAAGCGAATGCTTGATAACGTGAGCTACTTGTTAAGATTTTGGAAAAATATTTAAACTTTCATTCTTCGTTCGCTATTAGGCCAAGTATTTATGAAAAAACTCATGAATGCTTGATGCAAACAAAAGATGCAGCTGTTATAATAGTAGTGACCTAAGGTATCATGCAAAAATGAGAAGGGAGGTGCATGGTAGCTCTCTAGCTTTCTCAGGCAACTTGCAGACTAATAAAGGCATCAAATGGAGTCTTGGAAAAGAACACCACTAATGCCAAGCATAAATCAAATGGTAATGTAATTAAAATTTTGTAGAGTGACCAAATGCATAGAAGAGATAAGAACCTCTACATTATATAGGGTACTCATCTCATATAAGAGAACAGACAAGCAGAAAATGAAACCAGAATGCAACAATAATATGAAAACTGGCAGCCAAAATCTACAATTGCACTGTTTAATTTCTTCAGGCAATAATTACAAGGTTATTAGCAGCAACTTTATAGATTAGGAGGACCAGTAGGAGTAGAATAAAACGTTTATAGCTCCTAAAGAGCTTCACTAAGAAGGGAGGCCACTAAAAGCACTCTTTCATTATTGATATACTGTTAATGCGGGATTTGGGCCTACAAAAGTAAAGCTGGAGATAAACGTGAGATAAAAAAAATATAAAGTGAAGAGTAAATGACTGTCAAAGCACAAGATTATCCAAAAACCTCAATTACGAAGAAACATGCTACCTGCTTGTTGGGAATGCTTGAAAAGAAAAGTTGCTTCTCAAATAATAGGAATGGACAATATGGGGAAAGTATATTTAAACCAATTGAATGGATGATCGATATTACATAAGAAATGAAGATGACCACAAATAAACCAAGAGCACAAGCTCCGTAAGGATACACTATTCATTAACTTAAATGAGCTTGCATGCATTTGTTAATCTACTGCAGAATACAAGATTGATATAACCCAACTGACAATAATAAAAGATAACACAAATCTTACTTTTTCTCATTTGTTGAGGAATAAAGAACTGGCACCAAATTTAGGGCGACGGGAGCCGCTGGCATACAACCATAACATGAATGATTATTTCTCATCCTCATTTCTCACTATAGAGTTACTAATCATACAATATTGCTAAATTTCAGGCCAAATTTAACCTTTCCAGCTTTTCAATTTGTTTATATCACAGTTTTCGATAATTTTTATATCTCTTACACCAAACTTGAAATGTGTACTCTTTTATCCAAATAACTGATTAGGCATAGGATCATTTACCTCATCTTAAACTTGTAATCTTGATCAAGACGTTTCCTGAAAGGGTTTCTCTAGACTACCACTTTTATAAGCCTTAAAAAGATTTTGTTGAAGTTTAAATAAGAGTGAAAAGGAGAAGGAAGACGATGACCAGATATTGGAAATTGAGGAAGTTGAGCAAGAACCGAGCTTACTCGGAGAGCTTCGTTAGGAGGGCGGAGGCGCCTCCTAGTTTGAGATCAGCTCAAGATTTCTGATGCGCGGTGTACCGGTGAGAAGAATGGCCGGTCAGATCGGCGGGCAACAGGCGTTGAAGTAACCTTGTTTATATATAATTGTATTCAACATTTCTTCATTGCATCAAACTCATTAATCACTAATTTTGCTTTTAAAAACTAATTATAATATTTTTCTTAAATTTTATTATAAAAAAACTAACTAGATGATCATCTTTTATTCGCAAATTAAAAAAAAAATATTCATTTATTAGTTTAAATGTATATAGCGGACTCACATCTGTTGGAAAGTAAAGTGGTAAGGCTCCACCACAATACATGGGTTTTTAAGCCTACCATATATATAGCATCAAATATATTTCTTTATTATCTTTGATGTCCAAGTCTTCTAAGAAATTCTAAAAGAGATTATCCTCCAAATGAGAGGACATCAACTTTTGGAGCCCCACTTGTAAGTATAAGCATGTGTCTTTGGTTCTTTTACAACTCAGGATGTTATACAACTCAATCTATATACAAAGTACATTTACATACACTTGGACATGTATAAAAATGTTATCATATAAGACAATATGTGTTGATCAGTTGTGTAATCATTTAATTCTTCTAATGCAATTTTTAAAGAGTCTAAGTTCACCAACAAAAATATAAAATGCATGACATCCAGGGTGCTGAAAATAAATAGACAAACACAAAAATCTCTCTAAGCAAAACACCGGGCAAGCAAAACACACAACCATCCTAGCCTAGGCTAGAGTCGGTTGCCCTAGCAATCATCTAATTGTGTGAAAGAGGCCGTGTGATTTTGATATATCCTATAGGAGCTTGATGTTTAAGTTGCATCAATTTAAAGTATTTATTCATTAAAGCAAAAGGGAATTTAATTAAATTTTAACTTGTGTGTATTTGGGTTTTATTATTTATGTTTTAAATTTGATTATTTAATTGCAAAGAACTTGTAAATTAATAACCGCAAGTGTAAGGGTTACTAATGTACAATTCTAAGGCTTTGAAATGAAATGCAATCATCTCTCATATAAGATAGATGACCGCATAAATCATTTGGAGAGTTATGAATGATTTATTAAGGGATAGAAAAGGGATCCTTCAATAAAATACACATGCCCTCTAATATAGAGTCAAGCATGATATAAATGATTTATTAATGAGTTGAAGAGCCTCTAATCTAAGGTATTATTGCCTTCCTAAAAGGAGTTGTGCACAACACAAATGGGTGTTTTTGTTATTTAAAATGTATTAAGGGACTTGAAATCAAATGCTAAAATGCCCTCCACATGGAGTCATTCACGAAGCATAAAGACCTTATTATTTAATTAAGATTAATTATCAAATTTATTTAATTAAAAATAAAATTTAATCAAATATATTATCAAATTAATTTTGTTGGTAAGTTTTATATTTTTGTTGAATTTTTTTATTTATATTGAATTCTTTGAAATTTTTAATAAATTATTGAATTTAAATTAATTTTATTAATTATAATTAAATAATATTTAAAAATTTATTTAAATTCAAATAATTAATCTCTAACATTTATTTAATTTTATTTAATTATTTATGTATTTTTAATTTATATTTATTATATTTATTTAATTATGTTTGAAATTAAGAATTTAAAGAATTTTTTTAACGATTTAATTATTAACATAAGAGAGGTAATTTGATTTTGATATCAAATCAATTCCAAAAATTATAAAATTGATATCATAGGTTAAGAATAACCAATATACTAATCTTTAAATGTTTGAAATTAATTTGATTTATATTTTATTTTTAATAAATTTATTTAATGAATAATTAATTTGGATTAATTAATTATTAATTAAATTTTAATGAAAATTGGTTTTGTATTTTAATTTTCAATGCTTGTAGGATTGATATAGAGTTGATTGAATGTGGTTTGATATTTTTTGTGATTTTTATTTGACTTGTTATGAATTAAGGAAGTTTGACCCTTAATGAAGGGTTTATTTTGATTAATCTTATTTGAAAGTCAACTAATGTCAAATCAAGGTCAAATTAAATCTTATGGTGTATAATATCACTAAGTTCATTATATTTAAGGTTTCATCCCTATCGGATTTGTGTAAGAATCTCTAAGATTTATTTTTTTAATGTTAACTAGACACAAACCTTAGTTATTTTCCCGAGGTGTCACTATGTTCATATAGGTTTGATAATCGATTTATCTAACCCTTGTTTGTATACATACAACCATTCCACATCAAATTAGTGATCTAATGTTCCACAAAAAAGTTAAAACAAATTTTCAAATTTGTAGATCATTATATAACCTATCAATTTGATAATTCAAGTATAAAAAAACATCTAATTAGACTGAATAAAGTGAGTTATAGGATATATGGCATGCCCTCAACCAAACCCTCATACAAAATAGGAAACATAAACATGCACATTTTGAAAACAAATTATAAAGATTCATAAATAATTAGAGGTTAATTACTCTCAAAATTTGCTTGTTCTTACTCAATGAACAGACTCACTTTACTAAACTTAAAGAGTTCTAAAGTATAATGATTGGATTAATATCCAATTTATATTGAATTTTCAATTATTTGAGTTGAATTTTAACCCATACACTTGAAAATTCCATTGAAACTAATGGATTGATCAATTAAGGTCAAGAAAATTACAGGAGGTGTGTAACACCCCAAAATAACCATTCCAAAAGATATATCAATGTAAGGAATATTCATTGAATAAACATCAAAATTCAATGAGTACATATACTTCAATTGCTCCATAAATAGTGAACATTTTACCTTAAATTTATTTTTAAAATAAAGAGCTTGAAAATCTAAATCGAGGGAGCATTTTTTTCATGATTTTGTTGAAAATATGAATTTTTAAAAAAATTTAAGTTTGAGGTGTTTTTTGGAGTTATTTTAATGGTTTTATATAAACGATTAGTCGGAGGAGCTAACAGGGTGAGCCCTTTACATGAGCCCTTTACATGTGGTGGCAAGCGAGCGGGCAAGCTAGAATGATTGTGGTCAGCTGATTTGGATCACTTAACCAACATGGCATGGTTCATAATTGTGAGGGTTGTTAAAGTGGATGGCTGTGATCTAGCTGTATGGAGATCCATAAAAGTTTATGAGGGTTGTTAAACCCTAAAGAACTAGTCCTAGGGCTAACTAAGAAGGGGGTGAATTGATGATTTAAAAATTTTCTTTAAACACAAAGAAGAATCCCCTTTTTAAAAGCTTTTTTAACATCTAAAAAATAGATAATTATATCTCTCAATGCAGAAGCAAAGTAATTTTACAATAACAGAAAATAAAGAGATTTTCGACCACATAATTAACATAAAAATAAATACAAAAAATAAAGTGTAGAAAATTAAGACCAAGAACAAACACACTAGAGATTTATAGTGCTTTGATCAACCTGACCTATTCCACTCCCCAGAACCTCCCGTTTTAGGTATTGCACTAAACTCTTTACTGACTCTTATTTAGCCACCACAACTAGGCGAAGAAGCCCTTACCAAATATTTCCACCAACCCAGCGTGGCAGAGGACCGTATTTCTTTCACAAGCAGAGGACCTTGACTCCTTTTCACCCTCATGGTGAGATAGATGACCTTGACTCCTTTTTACCCTCATAATGAGGCAAAAAACTTGGAATCACTTTCACCTTCCCCTGTGCGGCAGAGTAGTTGGGTCCTTTGACATTAAAGATATCTTCTTCTTTCTAAAACTTCTCTTAAGACAAACCTTGAATCTGATGGTACTAAGATGCAAGCTTGCCTGAGCAACCATGTGGAACCCCCTCCATACTCCCTTAAATCCCATAAGGATATTCTTCCTCTCAAACTTCACCTTTTCCTCTCTCCCTTTCAAGGCTCTCTCTTCAAGTTTTCTCCAAAAGAATGAAGACTTAATGCATGCCAAAGACACTTTTAATATCTTGGGAGAAAGCTTAAATAAAGGGCTTTAAAAATCCTAAAAATTTAATTCTGCCATCAAAGATTGTACATTACGATTGCATGGTAATCTAGTATGATGTATAAAATTTGACCTTATAGTCATGTATGATTGCCAGATATTCCAATACGATTAGTTCAAATTTATACTGATCGTCCAGAATAATTTTGTACTGATTATTATTACAATCCATGGCCCCTAATCTGAGATTTTGATGATGACAAATAACGTCGTTTAAATTACTATTTATTGAATACTTTTGATTTTTGCTCTTATCTGTGAGTACTAACATTTTAGGGAGATCACAAGTTACTTAGGACAACAAGAAGACTCAAGACTAGGTAGAGTAGGAGTTGGAGTTTATAACATTATAATTTTTCATTTATTATTTTTTTTCTTGAGTCTGGCCACAAATTGTATGCAAGATTGAGCAACCATGCACATACAAAGGGGGAGAGGGTTTCAAAAATGAAGAAAATTTTTTACTGTGATGATCGTACTACATGAGTTTAAATCATACTGTATGATCTGATATAGCTGAAATGGCTATCTGTAAACAAGTCGTACTATACGATTGATATCGTACTATACAAAGTGTTTTTAATTTAAAAACTCTAGCCGCAAGATTAATTTAAGTTTAATAACTAATCGTATTGTATGATCTTATTCATACTGTATAATATATTTTGAATACTTACTTAAATTAACCCTGAGATTAGTGCGTAAATCAAGGATTAATTTTTGATTGGTTATCATATTATATAACTACGATCATATCGTATTATCAATTGAGGCTATTTTTGATTGTCCAAGACTTCGTACCTAATGATCCCTTGATTTTGACCTAATTATACAATACGAAGTGGTTTGTACCATACGATGTACATAGATGAGTTTTCATCGTCCCAGCCATCATCCTGTACGAACAGAAGGATTTAACATATCATATTGTATGAAATATTTATAATTTTGTTCTGTTCGTAAACCTTTGTACTAGGACGAAGGCTATTTTGTACTGATCGTACTGTATGATATATGATTGTATTGTACGATCATAAATGACTAAATTAAAAATTTTAGGCTTCTTTGGAGCCTGTTTTTAAGT